TGAAAAATTAAAGAGTCTTAACCAATTGCCAAGCACCAGTATTGTCAAAATAGGTTTTTTAGAAATAGAAAGAAAAAGTTTTTTATATGTTGATGCTGATGAATCAGAATTAGAATTGCTATCAGTAGAAAAAAAAAGCGAAAAGAAAGAGATAATTAAGAACTCAGAACAAGTTTCAAGAATGGATATGAAAAATAATTTTGAGAAATTAACTAGTTGAATAGCAAAAAGGCATAAATTTTTGTTTAAAAAATCTAAAGGCATTTTTGGATACATGACACACTATTATAGTGATAAAAACGGGAATTTACTTTTTGCTCTTACCTCTAAAAAAGAGAGTATTAGAGTTCGTTTAAACTTACAAAAATTAGCCGAAGAAAAGAAAAATTACCTAGAAAGTGAATTTAAACTTCAAGAAAACAAAACAACCTACAAGGAAGAATTTGACAGTGAATATATTATTGATGATGAAAAGAAATTCCAAAAAAGTTTAGATTTACTAAATGTTTTACTTAAAACCCAAAATTAATTTGTGAACAAAAAAAATGAAATTAATTAATTATTTAATGTATTGCAATTATGAAAATAGTTCAGGTCAAGCGACAAAAGTATTAAGCAAAAAAAGTATTTTAAGTCTTCTGTCTCTAAAAGAGGAAAAGAAGGTTATTTTTCGAAAGAGTGCTAAAATTGACTATTATTCCTTATTCTCTCCTCTTTGAAAAGAATAATACTTACTCATAAAATAATCTTCTAAAAGCGAAACTAGTTTTTCTCTTTCTTCTCAAAGCATCTTCTTGCCAAAATATTTTTTATTTTTTTCATCAATCTCCCTTCGGGATTTTCTTCTTTCTTCTTCTCGTAAAATTCAATCGGGAATATCTTTATTTAATTTAAGAAAATATTCAATTAGTTGACTAACAAAACCATCATTCTCTTTTTTATCTGATGGCAACTTTTCCATCAGTTTTTTCCTTAACGGATAATGAGTGTCTTTTTCTAGTTTTTGGTTAACTTTTTGGTTTTCTTTCTCTAACTCTTCATCTAACGCTTTTAATTTGTTGTTTAATTCATGGGGACTTATTTTCTTTTCGTTATATTCTTCAAGCAATTGCATAAATTTATCTTCTCATTCTTTTACACTAAATCATCATCTTTGGCGGCGGTCTAAATTATTTTTAATTCTGCTTTTTAGAACTCAGCAATAAGCATCTGGGTATTTCTCGGGGTCAATAGACATTATTTCTTTCTTTACTTGAGAAAAATCAAAAGCGTTGAAATCAATTCTACCGATTTTTATTGCTTCTCCGCTTGCTCCTTCCACTCTTTCTGCTTCAGCAGTATGAGTTTTTTCATTGTCGTCATCTTCTACTAGTTCACTAAAATCATCAAAAGTAAAATAACATCCTAATCGGAAACATCAATTAACAAACTCCAAATTTTTTTGTTGTTGGTTATTTTCTTTATCCTTGACATATCATTGAGAACTAAGTGTTAAACGTAATGACTTAGTTTCTGAAAAGAAATCTTTCCTTTCTTCTTCATTTTTCTTCAAACAATAATTTAAGGCTTCATCAAAAAAAGATTTTTGATTAATTTGTTGATGATTAAAAAGTAATTGATAAAGTTTTTCTTGTGAATGAAAATCAGCGAAAAAGTTTCATAAACTTTCTATTTTTCCGCTACTGATATACTTTTTGCTGTTTCTATCATCAAAATATTCAGTTAATACTTTTTGATAAGTTCCTTCATTTCCCGCCAAATCAACTATAAATCCCTTGTCTTTGTCAGAATATTTTCGGTTAACCCGTGAAATTTTTT